CTATTGTCCTCGACTAATCGTAAGTGAGGACCGGGCGAATGCAGATCGGGCATTTGTCCTTGTTGAGAAGCCAGCCTTGAAGGCAGTGGCGATGGAAAACGTGCGCGCACGGCAAGCGCACGACGACGTCGTTTGGCTCGTAGGAATCAAAGCAGATGCTGCACCTAGTCCAGCACTGTATCCAACCGTCTTGCACGTGATATAACCAAACGCACGTGTGCTCGTCCGAGGCGGGGTCGACCCACTTTGAGTTGGGGAACAAATCGCAGATGTAGGTGCCGACCGAGGGCCACGTGCGCTGGTACTCGCGCAACGCTGGGCGCTCCTACCAAAGACGCATGCGGCGACTGTATACTATCGTCTAGCATCGCACCTCGAGCGGCGCGGCCCAGAGGCTACGGTTTTCACGTTTCTTGATCTCGTTCAGTCTCTTTGTGTTCTACGCAGACACAGACATGGCTACACACGCATGAGGAATGGAAGCGTACCGCAGTCTTTGCATTGATGTGCGCACGATATGCAGCATATTCCTCGTCCGTGCGCTCTCTTTCTAGACGCTGTGGCCGCAGCGGCCCCGCCGCGGGAGCCGGCCCGTCTTTGCGCATACTCCGGTCCGTCGGCGCCGGCGGCACGCGACGCATCTTCTTCCGGGCGCTTGGCGCAGGCCCACGCAAGCTCTGCACCTCGCCGGGCGGGCGCCGGCCCTACATGAAGGCGTGTCGTCGTACGGGACAGTGCGTCATGGGTCGTCGCGACGGCGGCCTACCTCATGTTGCATGACGCCACGACGCTGGTGCTCGGGCTCAGTCTCCTCCTGTAGACGCCATGAGTCCGTGGTCGCGTCAGAGAAGCACGTACTTGCTCATCGTCCGAGAGCTCCAGCCAGTCGGCGGTGAAGAAGCGTGCCATTTGCCCTGGTCGTCGCCGTTTCGTTTTTGACGATTTCAAATGGATCGCATGCGATTGTGCCCTCCGGATACGTCGGTCGGATTGCCTTCTCTCTCATGGGATTGGCCAAATTTTACCGGCAGAGCTGCATGATTGGCTGGTCTGCATCGCGCTCGGGTCGAGGGCTTTGAATTTGAAATGGAGCGCCAAGAGGCTGATATTATATGAACGTGTTTCGCGTTATCTTCATAATTGCACAAAGACTTCGCATACGTAGAGACTAGCAATCTCCTTCTTCTTCATTCGCTCGCCGGTCCGTGGCGGCGGCGCTTGGACTATAAAATGTACATGAGACATTGATGGGCTCAAAGTGGAGCTCAAAGTGGACGCACCTCGAGAATCGTTGTCGCTGTAGCACGACGCGCGGCCAAGAACTCGCCGGACAAATCGTCCAAGCGCTCAAGAATCTCGGCGCGCACGTCTCGAGCTGCGACGTCCTGACGCGTCAAAGCCGCTTGCGTCACGGCATCGGCTGCGTGGAATTGGTCCGTAAAGTCGGCAAACACCTGGCGCATCGGAGTCAAGTCGACCTCGGCCATGCGGTCGGCCGACAAGGTCGTCATGTTGGCCGTGTATGCGCTGAGAGCGTCCGTGAGAGCGGACAACGTGGCAACCTCTTGCCGCACGACAAGATTGCCGTCGGGGTGCTCGCTCGGCTCCTCAATGCCGCCGCCGTCGACCCGGCGACGAATCGCCTGGATTTGCAAGTCCAGGCGAAATACGTTCTTGGTGTGGAGAGCGGAGTCGGCCTTGATGTCCTTCACGGCGGCCACCAACATGTTCATGGTCGCCTGCAGAGAGTCCATGGTCGCCTGCAGAGAGCCCGTGGTCGCCTGCAGAGAATCCAGCGTCGCTGGCGGCGGAGGCGCTGGCGCGGGAGTAGCCGGTGGTACCGAGGTGCGTGCGCTCACCGGCACGGAATTGCGCGCCGACAGCGTCATGTTGGTTTCTTGTGACGAGACGCTCGACAAGCGGTTGATCGGCTGGTCGTCGTCGAGGTAGCTTGTCCCAGTCGATGAGACCGGCGTAAATGGCGTCCGTGGGGCCAGAGGCGGTTTGAAGAACGGCGACGGTTGGAGGGGTGCCGACGGCATTGCCGCTGCCGGCGTCGAGCTGGTCGGGAGCACGTACGTCGTCGGAGCCGTCGCGGTGCTGGGCGACACAAAAGACGGCGGCAGTGTCGCTGCAGCCGGCTTTGGCGACGCTTGGACATTGAAGTCCAAAATCTTCTGTTGCGATGGCACCGCACGCTTTGGCTTGGGTGACGCTGGAGTCGCTGGCTTCCCAGCTTGGCGTCTCTTTCGAGATTGTCTAACCCTACGCGTCGAGACGATATCATGAGCACCAAATGAGCAAGAAAGCCGTACGTACGTATTGTGGAATGTTGTTTCCTTTAGGGCAAAGATGGCTTGCAGCAGCGGCAAGGCTGCCGCTGCATCTTCGCCCTGCAGCGCGTTCAAGTGGTCACGGAGCGGCGTCCAGGCCGCGGCTTGGACCTCTGACAGCTCGCCGTGATGCATCACCCAGTGTCCGTTGGCATCCTCGCGGTAGAACTTCGCGAAGACTTCCTTGAGGATGGCCCGCGGTACGTTGGTGTTGATGAACGCATCGAGGACGATCTCGGTCGCTTGGGCGAGGCTTCCGTCTTGCTCGAGCTTGCGTTTCACCATGGTCGAATCTCAAATGACGACACGAGGCTGCCTTGCAGCGAGGAATCGTATAAAATGCTGCGAATCATAAAATTATTTTATGTATGACACCTTGGTTGTCGTAGGCAACCATTCGCAACTTGTGGAATATTAATATTAAAATGCACGTTGAAGTTGGCAGGAGAGATTGGCGCGAAGGGTTCTCGGTGCTTTGGGTGGAACGATCTTGCAGTGGCCCATCAGCAACGATTCCCAACAGCGCAGCCGACAGTCACCATGGGCGCGTCGTCGTCATCAACACCGTTGCCACGACGCCTGCATCTTTTTTCCCGATTCTCAGATGAGACGGAGAGGGACGTTGGGAGTAGCTTCAGACGCGTGGCGTGTCCTTTGTTTAGCCCATCATGAGAACTTTCTTGGTCAGACACTGCATGTATCTTGCTGGGTTGTCCATGTCCCGAGTGGCTCTGGGCACTTTGGAAGGCACTCGGTGGGATCGAAACGTGGTTGGCGTCCGCTGTTGGGCAATCATTGATGATGTTCCATCGTGTCATATGGTTTTGGATCACACGAGCTACTCACTATCACTTTCCAACGCGAGCTGCAATGCGGCGTGGCCAAGAACGACGCAATTGGTTCCAGCTCGGAAGCCACCTCCTGGGCTTTCCAAAATTTGCCTCGCGATGATAGGACAACCGTGCCGCCTGAGACGCTACTCCAGGACAGCTCTCCAGGGCATCTCTCCACGGCGACTGCGACCTCGAGAACGTGATGTATCCAGATCGTCGTCGTCTACCATTCAGACACCGAGTTTTGACTAACGTTGGAACAGTTTGACCCGGGTGCTGCGGACCCGAGCTTCGAGCTGCAGCTACGACTATGGACCTTTGGCTTGCGACTGTACGCGTTCGTGTGTGTTCTGTATGTAGTAGCAAACGACTCTTGGTTTTGATTTGACGGCGCATGCATTCATCGACCCAGAACAGAAATGTTTGTATAAGCGAAGAAGCTCGCGGATGGGCGAGCTACTGGCTGCGGCGATAGTGTGAGTCTTCCGAGCAAATGCTCCGCCAGGACTATTGGACGCTGCCACCATGGCTCTAATGGTACAGCGCATGCTCTATGCATGTACGAGGACACGTATTTCCATCGAGTCAACCGCAAGCGTCGCAACGTTATAATATAACCCCTGTGTTCCACCCGACGTCCACCATTTTTCCGCTGCTCAGCGACTTTTCTGCACACTTCTCACACCGTTGGCGAACTGGTTCCCATCACGTTGCATTTGGAATGATATGTATCGGCTTCTTACAAGTGCGCTGAAATGGGCTCTTTCCTCGAGCCGAAGCTATCGGTAGTTGCGGCGCTGCGACGTCGAGAAGAGCGACGTGCCCTTCTTGGTCGTCTTCTTGAACTTCATGTTGGCCGTGCTCACGGCCGGCGTCACCCAACACGATGCCGCAGGCTCTGCGTACGCGGCGGCGGCAGGAACGTCCGGCGAGAGCTCACTCGGGAACGCACTCGCGTCGTCCAGCGCAAAGTCCGACGCGTGAAACGAAGCCGATGACAAGAGCATCGTCGGCTGCGGCGCTGGCCACAGCATCTCGTTCTCGAGCGTGAGGTTGACGAGCCGCGCGTCGACAGCGTCGAGGCGCTTGCGTTCTTCGTGCACCTCGGCGCGCTTCTTGGCTTGGCGCGCCCGGGCCCGCTTCTTGAGGTCGCTCTGAAAGTGCAGCAGCGTCTCGGGCGAGACAGTGTCCTTGAGCTCAATCTCGGCGAGGTAAAAGTCGCCGAGGCCTGGGAGGTGGCTAAGGAACCGGAACCGCTTGCGCGCATCGTCGTTCATGACCACGTGCTCGAGCTCGAGGACCTTGCCGCTGAGAGACGACGGGAGCGCGTCACCAAACTCCTTGGTCAAACAGCGCATCGTGATAGGGTGGAGAAACACCGTGTGGCCGCTCGCGAGCTGGTAAAACGTATAGAGCTCGGACGCGTCGTCGTCACTGGTCGTGATGGACGCAGATGCGATTGACGCCGAGGCTTGCTTCTCGAGCTGCTTCTCGCAAAACGTGATCCCTTCTTGGATCACGGGCAGCATGTTGCGCTCGCCACTGCTCTCGGCCTCGACGTAGAGCCGCTGCAGGTCGAGGAGCTCGCCTTCGACCATCTCGCGCAGGTACGAAGCCGACGCTTCGAGGATCCGGCTAAAGCGCCCGTCGTCGCTGTGCACGGAGGGCACGCCGCTTCGGGAGGCAGTCGTCGGCAAATGCGGGAACCAGCTGCCCTTGGAGCGATGCAAAAGCGCAAACGTCGCGGCGCGGTTCACGCTGGGCATGCTGCGCTCGCGGTCCACGAGGACGCTGCGCAAGTCCGTCTTCTTGACCGAGTCAAAGCACATGGGGCACCGCCGCCAGTAGTTTTCGCTGAGCGAAAGGTACATCAAAATGCAGCTCCAGCTACGCAGCCGCGACTGAGCCACGCTTGACAAAGCACGCAGATCGTACCAGAACGTGTGGCCGCAGCGCGTGATCTTTGGCGCGCGCAGCGTATCGAGGCAGATCGGGCAGCGCCGGTCGGCCTCCGCCTGCTCGTTATTCACGATGACTTGCTCGACGTTGTCCCCTAATGACGGAAGGCGCGTCAACTTTCGAGCTGGCGAAAGAATGATGATGCGTACATGCGGCGAGCGCCTCGGGGTCAAAGAGGACGTTCGCGGCCTTCTCGCTCGCAAGCGGCGCGACCACAAAGCGGTAGCTACACGATCGATGAGCTCAGGACTCAAGCAACGCAGTGTACTTGGCGTGGAGGAACTCGTCGCGCGTGCGCGGCGGCGGCGCCTTCTTCTTGCGCATCGCGACCGCCTTCTCTTCGCGCTCGGGCAGCGAAAAGTTGAGAAGATGGTTGGCTGAGACGCCGCCTTGGCGCTTGCGCCGGTCGCCGCCGCGCGGCTCGGGCACGGGCTTGGCACCACGTCGTCGCTAATGTTCGGCAGCATGAGTGGGCGTGGGCTCCTGGACGCGTCTCGTACCTGTCCTTTGGTCACCGACATCTGGACTGCATCCTCATCGTAGGTATAGTCGTCGATGTCGTACATGGCGCTCATGGTGGTTCTTCGGAGTCGAGGGTCCCGCGCACGGTGCCAGTGGTGGTCCTGGGCTTCCGCTCCAACTTTGAGCAAACTTCCATTTTGGATGCCACTGAATTGAGTTTCGCGAGATTCGCGTTGAGTTCGTATCCATTGGTATTTTAAATAAATAGCTTGTAAAATGAGAGAAGAAAGGTGACATACAATAAAATACTGTGGCGCGGACACTCAAATGAAACTCAAAGCGACCTGTGGCCCACGCTCTGCGCTGTATTTCGTTTCAGTATCGGGCCACGCGTGACACGGGAATTTGCCGCGCGCGATCTTTCGCTGGTCGACAACTCTCAGGACCCTCTCGCACGACAACCTGTGCATGTTACAGGACTCGTTAATGCAGTTATAACACTCTAGTCGCAGTCAATCCCCAACGAGCCAAAACTCAAACACAATTTCCAGGCAACGCATTACATAGCAAATCTATTGACTCCTCTTAAAAGCTGGGCATACCGGGAAAGCCGCCCATGAGTCCGCCCAGCTGGCTTGGGTCCATGCCTTGCATCTGCTTCATCATCTTCATCATGCCTTGGGGGCCGCCCATCTGCGCCATCATGCGCGGGTCCATCGCCTTGCTCAGCTGCTGCATGACCGCGTTCGGGTTGCGCTCCATTTGCTTGGCCATCGCCGCGTCGCCGCCCTTCATCAAGCCGCTCTTGCCCATGCGCTGGACGACGCCGGCAAACTGCTTGTGCATCTTGAGGAGAAAGTCGACTTCGGCCGGCTTGCAGCCCGAGCCCTTGGCGACGCGCAGCTGGCGCTCGGGCGTCAACTGCACGACGCCGTCGAGCTCGGCGGCCGTCATGCTGTCCATCATGTAGAGGAAGCGCTTGAGCATGCGAGTCCCGCCTTCCTCGCCGCCGCCCTTGAGCATGTTGCCGAGCATTCCCGACATGCCCGGGATCATCTCCATGACCTTGGAGAGCGGGCCCATCTTCATGACCGACTGAAACTGGTTGTACATGTCGCGGAGCGTAAAGATGCCCTTCTGGAACTTCTTGACCATCTCCTCTTGGTTGTCGAGCATGCCACTCGCCTTGACTTCTTCCATGAGGCCCTTGATGTCACCGCGCCCGAGGAGCCGACTCACAAACGACGACGCGTTGAACGGCTCGAAATCCGCAAAGTGCTCGCCGGTACCGTAAAACGTGATCGCTGCGTCAGTGGCCGCGACTGCACTCATGGCACCACCGCCCTTGGCATGGCCATCGAGCTTCGTGATGATGACGCTACCGACGGGCACCGCGTCCTTGAACGCGGTCGCTTGGTCATGGACGGCCTGGCCGATCGTCGAGTCCATGACAAAGACAACGTCGTCGGGGCTCACGACGTCGTAGACTTCCTGCATCTCGGCAAAGAGGTCCGACTCTTGCTTGTGGCGACCACTCGTATCGACGATGATGATCTCGTAGTGCTCGGCGCGGAACTGCGCAACACCTTCCTGCGCAATGCGCACAGGATCGGCCTCCGTGTAGCTGCCGTAGAACGGGACCTGCAGCTTCGTTGCGTTCTGCTTGAGCTGATCGAAAGCACCGGCGCGGAACGTATCGGCGCACACCATGCACGTCTTCCAGCCCTTGCCCCGGTAATAATGTGCGTACTTGGCGATCGTCGTCGTCTTGCCCGAGCCTTGGAGACCCACAAACATGACGACGTTGGACTGGCCCTTCTTCATCTTGTACGGCGCCGTCTGCGGCTCGAGCATCGACACGAGCGCGTCAAAGACTGCCTTCTGGATGATGTTTGGGCGGTTGGCGGCCACGCCGTCCTTGAGGTCCATGGCGGCCTTGACCTTGGTGCGCAGCTGCTGCACGAGGCGCACGTTGACGTCGGACTCGAGGAGCGCGCCGCAGATCTCCTTGAGGACCATGTTGAGCGTCTCGTCGTCGACGGTCGACGTGCTGCTGAGACGCACGAGCGCCGACTGGATCTTCGTCCCGAGCTCCGCGAGGACCATGCTGCTGCTTCGACGACTTCCTCTTTCGCTTGTGTTTGGCTGACGTGGTCGCCCACGCCATAAAATACATTATTTTAAAATAATATATCGAAGTTTGCACTGCGCTTTCGCCATCTAAATCGTTTGGCTATTCGCACGCACTCTAGCGATGCGGTCGCGGATCGAGAGAAAACCAACACGTTGTCTGATCTGCTGGGCGCAATATTGTGATGCATAGCTATCCGTCGATGCACAGCCGCTCTCTTGGCTTCTACAACGTACGTCGCATCATGCAAGGTTTGGCTGTACGCCTTTAAGGACGGTGCAAATAGCGCCAGGCGCTGTTGGCGTAGTTCGAAGCCAAAATCGAAGCACCATGTGCGCAATTCCAAACGTATCCGGATATTCTGCCAGGCATCCGCATATTGCGTGCTCGGGGCAATGAAGCGACGCGCTGTTGCATCAACAGCCCGATTCCGCCTCTGCTGCGCACGATGCAGGCCCGCGTCGCCGTCGAGGCCTCCATCTTTGGCGTCGCCATCGCATGGCTCTACGCAGCCTCATTCCATCTGCGCGTGCTCGATGCGCTGCCGCAGCTGCAGCCTCTCCTCGCTTGCCTCATGGCCATGCTCGTCGCCGGCACCGTCGCAACGATGCGTGCGCATGTCTACCTACCTCTCCACACCATCGCTCGCACTCGGTATTCCTTCCATCTTGCTCAATTCGTATCGATACGTGCGTGTAGGCCTGAAAACGATACCGGTATCCTCGTCGGCGCCGTGTTGCTGCCGCTTGTGGGTTGCAGCCGGCTCCTCGTCGCCTTTGCCGAGACCTCGACGCTCGATGGTACCTTCATATCGCTGCGTACATCAACTGACTGGAGTGCGTGTAGCGTATGCGCTTGTGCTGCTGGTCTACGTCATGGCGTTGGCTCTCTCGACGCTCGTGCGTCTCGGAGCTCGCGCGCCGTGGTCGCTGTCGCCCACAGCTCTCTGGGAGCCGGTGCTCGTACAGAGCCTGTCGCTGCTGCTGCCCTCCGACTATGGTATGTCATTTCACTGCGATATCATGTGAGCTTTCCCTTGTGTTTGGCGTAGGAACGTATGTGTGGCAGCTCCACGCGACCTTGGCCGTCTACAACCTTCTTTTGAGCTCCGGCCTCGGGGCCCTTCCGCGGTCCTTTACGTTTGGCGAAGCCATGGTGCTCTCGCAGGGCATGTCCCTACTTTTTGTCGACAGTGTTTTCTACACGCTGCAGTCGGTATGGACGTCCCGTGGACGACCCATTTTACTATGATTTCTTGTAGATGGCACGCTTTGACGCCAAAATTCCCGTCCACGAGCCAACGACAATTGTCATTCAGCTCGTGCTCGTCTCGGGCGTTGCGCTTGGCGTCCTCTGCACGCCGCTCTTTCGACAGTATGGTGCGCCGTTGCCCCTGACGCCGTCGCCGCCCTTGCCGCTGCGTCCGACGCTTCTCTTTGGCGGTCTGGTCGCAACTGTGGGCGTCGTGTTTCTTGTTTGGAGCTCATACCTCTTGCGCGAGTCGACTCTTCTCTGGCTTTTTGCACGCATCTCGTCGCCCAGCGCTGTCCGCGTCCTTGCATATTGGGCGGTGCTCCTTGGCGTCGTCGTACCTTTGTGTCCGTGGATCGCATCGACCCTCGGCCTCCGGCAGATCGTCGCCCGTAAACTCTACCACTTTCTCGCTGTCGCCTTGTTCCTACCCGCCAGCCTTCTCGATGTAAACACTTTAGCTCTTCATAGTCTTTATGATCAAGCTCTATATGTGTTTAGATGGACCTCCTCCGCCTCAGCTACGCGATCGCGATTGGTCTCTTCTTCATCATCGAGTGCGTTCGAGCGCTGTCCGTGCCGCCCATCGGCCGTCCGATTGCAGCTTTCATGCGCGCGTACTTGGACCACCGCGACGACGGACGCATTGTGCTGAGCCACACGTACCTCTTGCTGGGCTGCGCGCTTCCGAGCTGGCTCTGCCCTGATGCGTCGTCCGTGCTCCTGGCCAACACGGGTGTTCTTGCCTTGGGGATTGGCGATGCCATGGTACGTATTTTCTTTATGGCAAGAATCAATATGGCGGTCTAGGGCGCGGTCGTCGGCTCGAGCGTTGGCCGCACCAAAGTGTGCGGAACGAAAACGTTGGAAGGAAGCGTCGCGGTGTTTCTCTCGATGGTGCTCTTTGCGTACGCGGCAGTGCCGTCTGCGCACCCATGGGCGACTCCAGTACTACATTATTCTCTATTAAAAAATGGACAAGATGTCTGAGATGTGAATAGGTCTTTCTCGGGTTTCTCTGGAGCACGTGGCTCACGACCGCACTCGAGGCGGTGACGTGCCAGATCGACAACTTGGTGCTCCCGCTCTTCTACTTGGCAACGTGCTGCATCACGCAAGCGTACCTACATGTGTAAATCACTGATCGTATCAATACTACGTGGGTATGTTTCTCGTTTTTTGGACGCTCCTTCAATCTTCATTGCGTTATATGTGGCACGTGGTTGTACTGCCGTCACCCACGCTGTTTTGCATCGTCTGTAGCAAAGCTCCGCTCCCAATATGCCTGTGCTCACGGACTCCGACATTTACCCGATGCCGCTCCCGATGCGTTGCGAGGAGCGCCTCAAACTCATCTGCAGCCTTCTGGTTCCGTGCGAGTACGGCGTCAAGTTCATGAAGGCGGCCAAAACGGTGGCGGACGTGGTGCCAGTGCCTGGTCTTTTACTGGCGGTTCCCATCATGGAGAAAGTGCTCAGTGGCCTCAAGATGGCAGTGAAGGGATTGAACTTGGCCAAGGAGGCTCTCAGTACTACTTTGGTCGAATTCGTGCGAAAGGGAGACCCCAAAGGCAACTTTCACGGCGTCGTGCAGCACGCGCGCGACAACGGCTCAGTCATCTGGGCGCCGCCATAAAAGACTGAGCCGTCGTCGCGCGCGTGCTGCACGACGCCGTGAAAGTTGCCTTTGGGGTCTCCCTTTCGCACGAATTCGACCAAAGTAGTACTGAGAGCCTCCTTGGCCAAGTTCAATCCCTTCACTGCCATCTTGAGGCCACTGAGCACTTTCTCCATGATGGGAACCGCCAGTAAAAGACCAGGCACTGGCACCACGTCCGCCACCGTTTTGGCCGCCTTCATGAACTTGACGCCGTACTCGCACGGAACCAGAAGGCTGCAGATGAGTTTGAGGCGCTCCTCGCAACGCATCGGGAGCGGCATCGGGTAAATGTCGGAGTCCATGAGCACAGGCAAACCCGTTCGCTCGTCGACAATGTAGAGAAACCCGTCGCATTCGCCGGCCAGGCACTTTTGGGACGGCTCATGAAGCACGGGATTGTCGGGGTCGATGCGGTGCTCGGAAATGATGAACGACGTCAGCATCTTAAGGCGCTTGGACTATAAAATGTATATGAGACATTGATGAACTCAAAGTGGACGCACCTCGAGAATCGTTTTCGCTGTCGCACGACGCGCGGCCTCGAGCTCCTGGGAAACGCCGTCCGGGCGCTCGAGTATGGCGGCGCGTGACGCGACGTCGGCCAAATTATGGCGGATCGCAACAATGTTGACCTTGGCCTCGTTGTCGGCCAACGAAGCCTTCATGCCGGCCAAGAAGGTTTGGAGTATGTCCGTGGCAGCCTCTCGCTGCACGACATTGTTGCTGTCGGGGCGCTCGTCGAGCGAAACGCGATCGATTTGCTCCTCAATGCCGCCGCCGTCGACCAGGCGACGAATCGCCTGGACTTCCTTGCCCATGCGATTGAATCGAGCCTCGGTGGAGGCCATGATCTTCTTTTCGGACGCCGTCATGGCCGCCTGCAGCGTCTCTAGCGTCGCTGGCGCCGGAGGCGCTGGTGCGGAGTCGGCGGTTCCGAGGCACGCACGCTCATCGGCACAGGACTGCGCGCCGACAGCGGCACGTTGATTTCTTGTGAAGACGTACTCGACCCCGTGCTCTGCGAGAGCGGCAAGGGGCCGGGCAGATCGTCGTCGAGGTCGCTTGACACGGCCTCCCGATGAGGCGGCGGCATCGACTGAGGCGTGCGCGGCGGCAGCGACTGAGGCGTCGTGGCTCTGATCGGCGTACGCAGCAGCAGCGGTATCGAGTTGGACGGCACAAACGACGTTGGCGGAGTCGAGTTGACGTAATGCACGGGCGTCGCCCCTGCCATCGGTGCGACCGCAGGGCCGGGCGATTTAGAAGACGGCGGCATCGGCAAATCCCCCCAAACGGTCGCCCACATGGACGCTGAACTAGAATCGTTGAAGCTGCGCATGTCGTCAGTTTGTCATGGGAGCGTACCACGTGTCGAGGAGAAGGAATCGGCTCGTACGAATCTCTTGACACTCCCGACGAGCGAGATCGACACGCCACACTGATGTTGAAATGAGTTATGAACATGCAATTATAAAGATGAAGATGGTGGACCTCCTACTGCACTCGTGAGGCATGGCCGGTGCATCAAGCGGAGGGCGCTTGGGCGGGTCTTGGGGTGGCTGCGTTTCGCGAAGCGCAAGCGCCGCGAGCAAACAATGGTCGCGTTCCATACGCAAAGCGAACGTGATCTTCTGCTCCGGTGACGCCCCGAGACGGCCAGCTCTGTCGCGTCGCTGCGCAAAAACTGTCGCTCTCGAAGTAGCCGACGATTCTGCGAAACATTGCACTGGACATGCGGAATCTACACTAGTAAGGTATTGCACAATGCCATGGTAGGGACAGTACCGACGTCCGAAGAGGATCTCGCCGTAGGTTGGATCGGGGCTAAGAGCATCGCGACGAGTACTAGTACCGCATAAACTGTGGGGAACTAACAAACGTGCCTAATAAAAGCGAAGAAGAGAAGATCGACTTTCGAATGACGTCCCATCGTCTCATCGTCCCTTCGTCCCAAGGATTCCCTTGCGTCGTCCCATCGCCATGTCCTTCGAAAGCTGACCTTCTATCGTGGTTGAACGA